GTTATTATTAAATAATAACAATATAAGTTCAAATACAATAATACGAAAACGTTTTAAACAACAATGGTTAGAGATCGATTTGTTTAAGCCATGGCTCATGCGAAGTGTCACATGACATTAATTCATTTTTCTGCGCGTTTTGTAATATATCTGTTGTTGGTGGTTTGTCTCAAATCTATCGTCACGCAGAATCCAAGAAACATATTATAAAATGTAAAGAAAATGAAACAAACAAATCCAGTGAAGATATGAATGAGAACGAATCACTTTTGTCATTTGAAGAGCGAAAGAAATCAGCAGAAATTCGCTATGCCGCGTTAATTGCTGATAAAAATATTTCGCATCAAACGGCAAAAGATATTCTTACTCTTTTCCAAGAAATAGGAAAAGATTTTAATGTTTTGAAAAATATGAGTATGGGCCGAACAAAATGTACAAGTATAATTTCAAATGTGCTATGTCCGATTGAGACGGATCGTATAGTTAACAGCATTCAAAACACTAAATTTTCAATTTTTATTGATGAAACGTCTGATATTTCAAATGAAAAATGGATGACGTTTCTTGTTCGGTATATCATGTAAAAGCATTTGTAATTCTGTATAGCCATTACGAAAACTAGTACAATTAAAAAAAAATGCGTTTGGTCGGTAAAACAGACATGTTCCTGGATCCCCTTAAGACGCGACGGTTATTCGGCGCTGGTTGTTAAATGCGCGGCGGCGATGCCGTGATTTACAGTGGAGCGTAATGGACGTCGATGTATAATGACATGGCGCGTATTTCCAGATGTTCGGGGATTGCGTCCGGAAATCGTAAAATCCCGACCGGGGCGGGGGACTCCCCCTCCCCCCTCTGTTCCGTTCTGCGCGGATCTGGAGGATGGCCGGCGGAGCCGAGAATGCTCGGCGGGAGCAGCGAACTTACTGTCCCACAGTTCGGTTGGCCGGAGCGGATGATAGACCGTAAGCTCGAGAACTCTCGAGGAGAGCGGCGAACATTCCGCTCTCGTTCGATTCGATTGAATGAAAAGGATTCGCAGTCGGAGCGGATGTCGAGAATGCTCGGCGGAGGCTGCGAACTCGTCAACCTCGCGATTCATTTCTTTTTGCGAAAGAGGATCGATTTTGGATATTTCTTGTGCATACTGCTCAAGCGGATTCAGGTACCGGTCTTGTATCGATGCGTAATTTAGCGGTCTTTTTATACCCAGTAATTAATGTATTCGCGTTGTTTCCCTACGGTGGGGTTTCGGCGGGAGTCGCTCAGTGTTGGTCGGGAGCGCTCGGCGTTGCTCAGTTTGTGGCGCGGGCTGTAACGGCGGCCGTATAACGGCCGTACACAGTCGTTTAATTTATAATAGATTAAAAAAGGGCCTTTGCCCTTGCCCGACTGGTGTTGGCCGGGAGGCAGACTTCCGGCTGGTCAACGTGCCGGGTAACGATGGAGGGTGCAATTGTTTTAATTTATTGTTAAAGTATCTACTAATTAAAGATAAAGATAAAACGCACGTGTACAGGTAAAACGGTTCAAATTAAACAGGATATCCTCTTAACCGAAGTCCTTATTAACCGTTTTGTTTTTAAAAGCACTATAATATCTCTATTACACAACTATAGTATATTTAAATAATGTGTATTATTAATTATTGTATAAAAAAAAATATATTATCTCTCTTATAAAAAACTACCTTTTCATTACCTAAATTTAAAAAGTTTAATTTAAAATGTGCAATTAAAAGATTAGTTATGTAAAAAACATATAGTTTTGCATAATTAACTTTTAACTTTTTAATAAGTTAATAATTTTTTAACTTAACTTTAACTGAATTAATTTTTGTTTAAGTAACTCTTAACGTAAACCTAGTTAATTTTTGAGCCATTAACTTTAAACTTAATTTATTGTTAGTTAAAAAAAAATTAATGTATCCAACCTTGCATACAGGGTGGGCCATTTTAATGTCCCACCCCAAATATTTTCTTTCCTACGCCTTTTACAAAAAAATGTTTCGTACAAAAGTTGTTTGAGGGGGACATAAGACAGCAATATCAATTTGTTCGTAGGTGGCGCCACTTTCGAGAAATTCACTAATCATTACTTTTCTTAAATGGAAATCGATTTTTTTCTTTTAACAAAAGTTGTAGCTTTTGTCGAGACAAATTCATCGGTATGTATTTGTTTAGAGTTTTCTTGATTTTTCCACGGGTTACATCATTTCTTAATTTTGAAAATTAATATTTTTCAAACATGTGGAGAGGTGTTCATAAAAAAACAAATATGAGGTCTTTACAATTTTAGTAGGTAGTATTTTAGTAGAGATTGCTTTCTCGCGCAAATTTCCCTTTGTAAAATTTATCTTTGTATAATCTATGTATTTCATCACTTGATTACAAAACTAATGTCAGATATGATATTTTCCTAATTTCTCTGAAATTTATCTTTTAAATTGTAATTCTAATTGTTTTTTTTCTATCCACGTGGGGTGCTTTTTAAAAGTGAATCCCCTTACCTCTCACTTTTGGGGTGCTTTTTAAAAGTGAGTCCCCTTGCCTCTCACTTTTGGGGTGCTTCTTAAAAGTGAGTCCCCTTGCCTCTCATTTTTGGGGTGCTTTCTAAAAGTGAGTCCCCTTGCCTCTCACTTTTGGGGTGCTTTTTGAAAGTGAGTCCCCTTGCCTCTCACTTTTGGGGTGCTTTTTAAAAGTGAGTCCCCTTGCCTCTCACTTTTAGGGTGCTTTTTAAAAGTGAGTCCCCTTGCCTCTCACTTTTGGGGTACTTTTTAAAAGTGAGTTCCTTCACTATGCTACTGGATGTTTGTAATATTAGCGCAAATGCTCAAACAAGTTTCCATTGACAGCGGCACACTTTATTAAACGTAATCGAAAGCTTTCTTGGACTTTTTGCAATATATCAGAAGTAATTTCTGAAAATGCGGTTCTGATACGAATTTTCATGTTGTCAATAGTTGTTGGTTTTGTTGCGAAAACTTTTTCTTTTACGTATCCCCATAAATAAAAATCTAGTGGCGTAAGATCAGGAAATCTTGGTGGCCACTCTTGTGTTTGACTTCTGATGCCGATCCATCTATTTTAAAACAGATTATTTAAGTAGGTAACTACGTGGCGACTTCTATGGGGGGGGGAGCTCCGTCCTGTTGGAACCACATATAACGACGAACTTCCAGGATAACATTTTCCAAAAGATATGGTAAATGATTTTGAAGAAGATCAGGTAAGTTTCACCATTTAAATTTTCTTCGAAAAAATAAGGGCCGATCACACAATTGCCTATAATTCCTGCCCAAACATTTAGAGACCACTGGTGCTGAAATTCTTCACTTCTCTGCCAATGAGGATTATTTTCGGACCAATAATGACAATTGTGACGGTTTACTCCTCCTCTGTTATTAAACGTCGATTCATCTGTGAAATGAACTCTCGAGAGGAAAGATGGATCTTCAGCAAGTTGGTTTTGAGCCCAATCGCAAAATTGTACTCTTCTGTCGAAATTTCTGTCCTCTAATTTATGTGTTAGAACAATGTGATATGGATTAAACTTTTGTTCTTTCAGAATTCTTAAACACGTTCTTTGTGAAACTCCATGTCTACGTTCTATTTGTCTGCTAGACGTATGCGGATTCTGTAAAACTTCTGCCAATGTTACTACGGTGGCAACGTTATCTGCACTAATCTTTTTCCTTTCGCGTTTTAATGGGCCCATTTCAGCTCTTTGAAGCAATCTCTTTATGGTTTTCCTACATGGATGACGTCTATCGGGATATATTCGAGCATATTCCCTTCAGTAGCTTTAAAATTACCTCCACACAACCCTACCACTATGATCATATCTACTGTCTCTCGCGGTGGATAATCCATTTTGATTTCATTAAAGTGATTTAATAATATTATGCAATAATTATTGAATATCACTATCAAAGACAAAATTTAATGTGGAGATTGAAAGAGAACTAAAAATGATACAAGGAATTGCATTGAAACGTGTACGAAGGTACTATAATCACTTTGTATTCTGAGCTCACATGCTTCTGGAATATGTCTAGTTTAAATCACATTTAGAGAGGGACATTATCGTTAAATGCTCACATGTGAATCCGCATACGTTCTAGCAGACGTTCCTGGAAGTTCGTCGTGATATGTGATTCCAACAGGACGGAGCTTCCCCTCATAGAAGTCGCCACGTAGTTACCTACTTAAATAATCTGTTTCAAAATAGATGGATCAGCATCAGAAATCGAACACAAGAGTGGCCACCAAGATCTCCTGATCTTACGCCACTAGATTTTTTTTATGGGGATACGTAAAAGAAAAAGTTTTCGCGACAAAACGAACAACTATTGACAACATGAAAATTGTAAAGACCTCATATTTGTTTTTATATGAACATCTCTCCACATGTTTGAGAAATACTAATTTCCAAAATTAAGAAATGATGTAACCCGTGGAAAAATCAAGAAAACTTTAAACAAATACATACCGATGAATTTATCTCGACAAAAGCTACAACTTTTGTTAAAAGAAAAAAATCGATTTCCATTTAAGAAAAGTGATGATTAGTGAAATTCTGGAAAGTGGCGCCATCTGCGAACAAATTGATATCGCTGTCTTACGTCCCCCTTGAGGTCAAACAACTTTTGTACGAAAAATTTTTTTGTAAAAGGTGTAAGAAAAAAAATATTTGGGGTGGGACATTAAAATGGCCCACCCTGTATATTATACATTTGAGCTTACATCAGAAAAAAAGTAGTATTTCTTGGTCTATTAATGTAATTTTTTGATATGTAAATTGACATTTTGCAAAGATATAATACAGCGCATTTGTTAGATATGTATGTGTGGGATATTAAATTTGAAATGTATATCAATATGTAAATGGATAATTTTGATATCCAAATGATACTTTTGCCACAAATAGAATTGTTTGCTGTGAGAATAAGAAAGCGAATTGTTTTGAGTCGATCTTTGAACGATTATTTTGTTTTATAGGAATGGATTTTAGATATCACTGCATATGATCACAACAGATACGCAAATCACACGGAACTGTCTTCGCTTAAAGTATCGCTAAAAGACATGAAGCAGATCTTTTACAGTCCAGAGATTCATTTATTCAATAATAGAATGAAACCATCTTATCAGGTGATATATTATGATACGAAGACTGATAATTAAGTTTGTAGAAAATATTTATAACAATTACAGAACATACTTATTCATTATCTAATACACGATGCCTTTTAAAATAGTCCCCTCCTAAAGCAATGTACTTGGTCCAATGTTATTTCTATTGCAGGAAGCAGTCTTCAAAATCATTCTCCGTAAGACTGTTTAGAGCACGCGTCATCCATTCCACCTCCGCTCGTGACCCCCAATGACGATCCTTCATGTCTTTTTTGATTTTGGGGAATAGTAAAAAGTCAGAGGGGACCTGATATGTCCTCCTCCGATTTTTTTTTCTATTTCCCAAGATTATGAAAGACATGAAGGATCGTCATTGGGGTTCACGAGCGGAGGTGAAATAGTTGACGCGTGTTCTAAACAGCCACAGAGAATGATTTTGAAAACTGTTTCCTACAATAGAAAAAACATTGGATCAAGTGCATTGCTTTAGGAAAGGACTATTTTAAAAAGGACCGTGTATTAGATAATGAATAAGTGTGTTCTGTAATTGTAATAAATGTTTTCTACAAACTTAATTGTCAGTCCTCGTATATTATGATATACAATGTGTGTATGTACATATATACGGGAACACACGCACAGGAAAGCCTTAACACGTGAATTTATGCACATATCGGAGCACATATGCATTTCTTATACAGGATGTCCTAAAACTATCGCATTTCCTCTTAATGGCAGATTCCTTAAAACATTTCAAGAGGAAAATCCTAATACAAAAATGTCGAGACTATAATAGTTTTTAAAAAGAAAGCAATTATATTTTACGAATGGCAGGGCTGAGATTTCGCGCGCTTTCCGTTTAAAAACTATTATAGCCTCGACATTTTTGTATTAGAATTTTCGTCTTGAAATGTTCTAAGGAATTTGCCATTAAGAGAAAGTACGGTTGTTTTAGGACATCCTGTATATGCTCCGACATGTGCCTAAATTCATATATTAAGGCGTTCCTGTCCTCGTGTGTGTATTTATTATATTATACATATACATATATTTTTTATGCAATAGTATTCTTGCTCATGCACATTGTGTATAACTATTATATATATTTTTTAGGAGTTTGGCGATATTTTATTAGCCATAAGCTATCTGCCCACCGCACAGAGACTGACTATTAATATTATGAAATTGCGTAACATCAAATTTACACCAGTGATATCCAATTTAAATAAATTTAGTAAGTTAGCAAGAAGAAAAGTTGCGGATGAGCCTCATAGACATATAGGATAGACCGGCCCTTGTCGTGAGTAGCAGCGTGGAAGCATATGAAAGACAGAACTAGCATTCTGTCTCTTTTTTTTGGTGCGTTGTGGGGATTAGTAGGGGAAAATGAAGACTATGGTGAAGACAAAGCGAGCAAGTGCCTCTTTTCATGCACATGTATTCCTCTCATTCGCTTTTATCTCTATTACTCTTACCTAAGCAAAGACAAAAATAGCATTGTAGGGATCGCCATCCTTCATATGTTTTCACGCAGGATATGTTCCTCATGGCAGAAGCCGGTCTATCCTATATGTCTATGGTGCGCCTAAAAAATTGGCATCGACTTCCAGATACCGCCATCACCTATAAATGCATTTACTACATATATTTAAACCCCATTTAAAAAATGGATTAATTATAATATAGATATTGATCTTGTTCGAATCGATCTAAATATAATTTAGATTGTGATTTAAATCGCATTCATAATACTTCAATTCTACTCTCAAATCATTTGCTATCGTTAAATATACTATAATGAGTTTAGAAAAAAACGCGTTTTTAAAGCTATTTTTTCCATGTTTCTGTAGAAATACAGAAAACCCACATTAGTAAGATTTACTATTTTGACCATTTATTTATAGCAATATTACATACTTTTATAAAATATTTAATATGTTAGCCCATTAATTTATTAGTTCGTATGTGTAGGCTAAGAAGATTGAAAAATTAAAAATTGTGGAATTTCCAAAATCACACCACGGTGTTGCTTAAATCGCACCGGTACGATTATATTTGATATGATTGTAAAATTTCAGTTTTTTCAGTATTACAAAAGAATAGCTATATGAAATAAAGAAAAAAAAATGAAAATTACCTATTAACAAATCTTTAAAAAATGACACTTTTATTCTTACATTGTTATTAAATATAAATGTTGCATTTAAAGAATGAGATTGTAGCTTATGTCGAAAATGTATAGTGGAAAATAATACGGTGAATATTATGGAAACAATGAACACATGAATCATATGCTAGAATTTCAAAAGATAAACCTGAGTGCTGTAATTTATATAAAGTGATTTAAAAAATAGCCTGATAAAAGCCTATAATATTTCTAAAATTAAATTATGATATACTATTTATTTTAGTAAACATCAGTCCATCAAACACAGTCCATAAACATAATTTTATTTTTTAAATCTAACAAAATATTTTTTTCAGTATGCAATATGTGGATGTGATTTTGGTAACTTATGATGCGATGTAGGAGACTTTTTGCTTAAATGGCACCGATTACTTACGATTTCTTTTTTTTATACTTATTGTTAGAAGTTAGTAATAATTTTCCAATACATTTTCCAGAAAAAAAGAAGAAAATACCCTTCTCTCTATAATTGCATATTTAAAATATATATTAATGATATTTTAAATATATTTTTTAATGATATTTTAAATATATGTATAATATCTTCGTTTGAAAATGATGCCATTTAGGAAATTTTCCTATATTATTGACATTAATATATACAGGGTGTATCAGACCACCCGTGCCAGCCGAATATCTCGAAAACCGAGAACGGCAGACAAAAATATTTCGAGGGGGCCACATGATTAAAATATGGACTTGACCTTGAGTGACCTTTTCAAGGTGAGGTCAATGTGATCGATGTTTTCTTAAATGGAACCATTCATTTCTTATTGCATATTCTTGTAGCTTATCTCGAGAGCTTTTCAAAACACTATAATAAAGTATTTTTTCATTAAGTACTTTTTGAGTTATTTTATATTTTAATCTGACATATTTTGATATAAAAAATAAAATATCTCGTAAAATATTTAGTTTTCAATAATCTTACCGTAATACGAGTTATTTTATATCTTAATCTGACATATTTTGATATAAAAAATAAAATATCTCGTAAAATATCTAGTTTTTGATAATCTTACCGTACTTTTATGTACAGAATAATGAGACAGATCAATTAGTGTAAAAAAAAACAAATAATTGTTTTAAAAAAGACATTGTATATAATCACATATTTTTTCTAAAAAACAATTATTTTTTTATACTAATTGATTTGTCTCATTATTTTGTACATAAAAGTATTACGGTAAGATTATCGAAAACTAAATATTTTACGAGATATTTTATTTTTTATATCAAAATATGTCAGATTAAAATATAAAATAACTCAAAAAGTACTTAATGAAAAAATACTTTATTATAGTGTTTTGAAAACCTCTCGAGATAAGCTACAAGAATATGCAATAAAAAGTAGGCAATTCCATTTAGAAAATTCAATTTGACCTTGATCTGACCTTGGCAACGCCATCCAAGGTCAAACAGCT